TCATTATGCCTTCTCTTTGCCTTGATGTTCTGCAACAGGGATAGGCAAACATCTTCAGGTAAGGACCATTTAATAAATATTTCTAGCCTTGTGGGCCATACAGTCTCTGTTGTAACTACTCAACTCTGCTACTATAGCACAAAAGTAGCCATAAATGATATGTAAACAAATGGCGTGGCTGTGTTCCCTTAAAATTGTATGTAGGTGGCAGGCAGGATTTGGTCCATGGGCCAAACTGCTGACCCTTGGTCCACAGTTTTACTGCCAAGATATCTAAGTGAGGATTTTTTTTTTTTTAAGTAGTCTTTACACCCAGCACAGAGTCCAGTGTGGGGCTTGAACTCAAGACCCTGAGATCAAGACCTCAGCTGAGATCGAGTGGGGCACTTAACCAACTGAGCCACCCAGTTGCCCCTGAGTGAGGATTTTTTTTTAATTATCTGATTTGGTGTTCTTTAGGCCTTCTGAATCTGAAGGTTGATGTCTTTCATTGGTTCTGTGAAATTCATGGTTATTACCTTTTAAAATCCTGCTTTTTCCACATCATTCCTGTTACCTATTCATGCAACTCTCACCTGGTGAAGTTAGATATTCCTCCTTCGTCCTCTTCCTCTTAACCACTTTTATATTTTTTACCTGTTTCTCTGTGCTGTATCCACACTGACTTTCCATTTCTGACAGTACTTTTTGGCTCCTTGTCAAACCTGCCTGATGTATTTTGATGCCTATTAATCCTCACCTTACATTCAATCCCCTTATTTTTTTCTTTAAGTATTTTTACATAAACTGATGTCACATTCTCTGCTGGTATTTCCAGTAGCTGCAATCTTTGCAGGTCTGATTCTATGGTTTATGATTTCTCTTGATTTTCATTAATGGTGGCTTACTTTTTCATGAGTTTGGTGAATTTTGATCCTGAGCTCATATTTCTTAAAATCTTTCCTGTGATGATTCTTTGAGGCGTTACATTTGCTTCTTTCAGGGGCACGGGGGTAGTCCCAACGTGTTATCACATGAAATAAATTGCTGGCTTTAGAGCTAGCCAAGCGGTATGAATTTTGGCTCGCTATTAGAAATTCTTGGGAGACATTTTTCTTTCCTCCTGCAACCAAAGGGCCCCTCAGAGGGGCGGGTTCTTTTGCCCTGGTTCAGTTCTTCAGCATATTGTTCTTTAGTGGTCCTGGCTTTATGTGAGGGGTCTCCCAGTCCCCTCCTCACCCTGCCTGTCCCTGGTACCTGCATGACCCATTAAAGCCTGGGCTAGGTCACCAAGAAATGGCCATGCCCCCACAGGTAATCACTGCCTCCAGCATTAGTTCTCCTCTCTGGATTCATGCTTTCTCAAGATTTCTGATCTCTTAGGAATGCCTTGTTCTGATGCTGGTTCAGCTGTGCTTTAAATATATGTATATATTTTAATTAATATCATCTCTAGCATTTTAAGCAGGCTGTTTAGTGGTGGTGTCACTGTATTACCAGAGACATCAGAGACAACTTCCTCATCTCTAAATGGAGAAACAAAGAGAACCAGGACTCGATACGCTTTTTTAAATGAATGAATCAGTGATTTTTATATTGTTCTCTGCATTCTTAGAGTTATACTGTCATCAGGCTACTGTGCAAGCTGAGAACAGACTAATGAAATGTTTCTCAGATTAGACCAAGTTAATAATATGAATCTATTTCATAAAAATTTTTTGAAAGGTACCGTATGGAATTTGTGGACTCATCATTTGTGGGTTTGAGTTTCCCTGTGTGATTCAGAAGGCCCACGTCAGATTGCAACTTGTCCTTTTGCTGAGGCATCAATATCAACCGACTACGCCATGGGGTTTGTACTGGGGACAAACCTTTCGGCTTCATGAATGTGCCTAGATTATCCTCCGACCCACTGACAGCCTCGTCCTAGGGCAGCGTATTGACCTCCTCTCCTTGACTAACGCTACAGAGTAAGTCTTTTGAATTATAAAGCAACAAGAAGTCATTTTTGTGTATGTGAAAAATGGCCACCAAGTAAAAGCTCGAAGTTTTGTAAAAGTGGGGAGGCAGTTAGATTGTGGTGTGCAAGGATGTGCAGGAAGCACTTAACTCCCGATGGAAATGTGATTCGGGAAGACGCCAGGAGCCTGGACAAATTTTCCACATTCTTGAGTTGGGGAATTCTGGAAGAAGCAAGAGTGCCATCCCATGAGGATTTCAAGTGCCTACTGCATATTAATAAATAGTTTTGTGGAAAATAAAGTCAAGCAGAAATGCTAAGTTTAAAAAGAGCCCGTACACTTTGGCATTTTCTTACACACAATCCAGCAACCAAGCTTCCTGGTGTTTACCCAAATGAGTTGAAAACTTCTGGCCACACCCAAACCTGCACATGAGTGTTTATAGCAACTTTATTCAGAACTGCCAAAACTTGGAAATAACTAAGATGTCCTTCAGTCGGAGATTGGAGAAACTATGGTCCACGGGACAATGGAATATTATTCAGCAATAGAAAGAAATGAGCTATCAAGCCATGAAAAGACAGGGAGGAGACTTGAATTCAGCAAATTATTATGTGAAAGAAGCCCATCTGAAAAGGCTACAGACTGTACAATTCCAACCATATGACATTCTGGAGAAGCAAAACTATGGAGACTGGAAAAAAATCAGGGGACGCCAGGGCTTGGATCAGGGAGAGAGATCAATGGGTAGAGCACAGAAGATTCTTGGGGCAGCGAAACTACTCTGTGTGATATTCTAATGGTGGATACCTGTGATGTACATTTGTCAAAACTCATAGAATGCGTAACACCAAGAGCGAACCCTAACGTAAATTATGGGCCTTGAGTGATAATGATGTGTCCCCGTTGGTTCATTGATTCTAACAAATGTGCCACTCTGGTGCCAGATTTGATAACGGGAGAGGCTGTGCATATGTAGGGACAAGGGCTATATGAAAATTCTCTGAACTTTCTGCTCAGTTTTGCTGCGAATGTCAAACTTCTCTTAAAAACAAAGCTTATCAATTAAAAAAAAAGAAAGAAAGAAAAAAATCAGACCACAAGCCTGGGACATCGCTTCTGTGAAGGATGAGGGGGAACAAGAAGAGAACTCAGGCCATATGGCATTTCCTGCCTCCCCAAGAATGGCCAGGGTGCCTTTCTGGGAAAGCTGATGCGTTGGACAGAAATCTGCACCCCTGGGAGCGTCAGGGTGAGCAGGGAGAGGCTGGCCGGGAAGCTGGAAGAGCCCACCTCTGGCCTCTCTTGGGTCTTAGTGAAAAGCAGGACCCACACACAGGCACGCACTAGCACGTGCAACAACAAATGCACAGAAGGAGACAGATCGGCAGGCATGCATTGATGCACACATGCCCGGCATACGCTTGCACGATTATGTGCGTGTGCACAGTCGGAGCTCACATCTATTATAGATACACACAGACAGACGACTGAGGCCGCTTGCCATTCTGGAATACAAGCAGTAGCTGCTGATAAACATGTTCTCTTGAGAGCCTGGGGAGTTAATTGTTCTAACACATGTCCCCTGGGAATGGAACAGCCTTCCGGAACAATCAGCCCTCCCTCCTCCATCAGTCAGCTGCAAGTGGTCGGGATCTGTCTGTATCTGAAACTGCCGGTATGGCTTCTGGAAAGTGCCCACGTGTGTTCATCTCAGGCCGCCTGCAGGCAGCTTTCCCACCCGCGCATCCGCAATGCCCAACGCAGGTCATAATTTAGCGCTGTCAGCCGATGACACTCACTTCCCCCATGGGACACTGCAGGGCTTTCGGGGCAAGCACGTGCTGCCTGCAGCTGCCCAGGAGGGCCAGTGACAGGCGCGGTGAAGGAACTGAGTCCTGTTGGGCCAGAAGAAGAGTGTTGGTTCCCTTCCGGCCCCAACAGCTTCACCCTTCTAGCTTGGAGCCTGACTCTCCGTGTTGCATAAGCTGCCTGAAGAGATCCGCAGTAGTTTGGGACACTTCTGCCTCGAGGCTGCACATGGGAGAAAAATCTCCTAAGTGGAAACAGCCCCATTTGCACATTGGCAGATGGAATCCAACTGGATGTGGAAAAAAGCTCAACACGGGGCTCAAACCAAACAAAAGAAATTAACCAAAACAACACCTTTTAAGTTTAACAAGGGCTTAAAAACGATTTTGAAAAACTTCTGGTCCTAATAGACAATGTTCAAAACTTAATTTAAAGACTCTTCCCTTGAGTTAAGAAGCAGGAAACCTTTCAGGACTTCCATTCTTTTAAAAATTCTCTACTTCTGAACACAACAGAATTCTTTTCTTTTCTTTTTTTTTTTAATTTTTTTTTCAACGTTTATTTATTTTTTGGGGGGACAGAGAGAAACAGAGCATGAACGGAGGAGGGGCAGAGAGAGAGGGAGACACAGAATCGGAAACAGGCTCCAGGCTCCGAGCCATCAGCCCGGAGCCCGACGCGGGGCTCGAACTCACGGAGCGCGAGATCGTGACCTGGCTGAAGTCGGACGCTTAACCGACTGCGCCACCCAGGCACCCCAACAGAATTATTTTCTTATAAAATTACTCTCCTGAACTGTTTTGCAACTGTGGTAGACAGGATAATGGCCCCCCGAGGATGTTCCCTTGAACCTGTGAATGAGTTACCATACACGGCAAAAAAGGGACTGTGCAGATGGGATTACGTTAAGGTTTTTGAGAGCACCCTGGATTATGCAGGCAGGCCCAGTGAGTTAGAAAGGTCCTCCCAAGAGGGAGGCTGGAGGGCCAGAATCCGAAAAGGAGATGTGAAGGCAGAATCAAAGGCTAGAGTGGTGACTGGAATGACAGAGGAAGAAGCATTAAGCCAAGGGACCCAGGTGGCCTCTAGACACTTGAAAAGGGCACCAGAGTGAGTTCTCTTCTGTGGCCTCCAGAAGCGTGGAGCACGGCCTCGCCAACACCCCTATTTCAGGATTTCTTACTTCCCACGCGGGAAGACGCTAAATTTGTTTTAAGCTACTAAGTTTGTTTTAATTTGTTTTTGCAGCAGTAAGAAACTAATACAACCTATTGCGAGCGACCAGATCACGCCTGCTAGCTTGAGAGAGGAATGACTTGGCAAATTGATGGCTCCGCGTGAATCTTCATACAGTTTCCCCGACCGCCGTCCCCCCTGTTCGGGTGAGCTCATAGTAGAATTGTTTGCTGATTTTTCACGTACTTATGCTAAGTGAAAAATACATGGTGAGAGGCTTAATTCTATCTAATTACTGACGTCTTCATACATCTTTGTTGGGGATTATCCTACAGTATCAGTGTTCTAGGACTGCTGATACAAAGTGCCACAGACTGGGAGCTTCAACAACAGAAATTTATTTTCTCACAGGTCTAGAGGCTGGAAGCCCAAGAGAAAGGTATCTTCTGAGACCTTTCTGCTTGTCTTACGGGTGGCCTCCTTCTTGCCGTGTCCTCGCATGGCCTTTCCTCTGTACCTGCACATGTCTGTCTGTGTCCAAATTTCCTCTTCTTGTAAGGACACCAGTAATATTGGATGAGGACCCGTCCTAAAATTACCAAAAAACAATTTGAACTTAATTACCTTTTAAGTTTATTTATTTTGAGAGAGAGAGAGAGAGAGAGAGGAGCGCGAGGATCCCAAGCAGGCTCTGCACTGTGAGCGCAAAGCCCGTCACGGGGCTCCATCTCGAGAACTGTGAGGTCATGACCTGAGCTGAAATCAAGAGTCTGACACTTAACTCCCTGAGCCACCCAGCAGCCCCTAACTTAATTACCTTTTCACAGGCCCGATTTCTGGTCATTTCCCTAGGTACCGGGGGTTCGGGCTCCAACATACGAATCGTGGGGGAGACACATTCCAACCCATAACCTCCATACTAGCTACAGGTGGGAGAGAGTCTGTGCCAGCCAAACAGATCAGACTGTGTAGACCACTGAGGTGACACGTCAAGACTATTCACCATAATTCCACATTATTTCTGCTTTGGTACACTCAAGTGTTTTATGATATGAGTCCATTGGAACTGTCTCGCTTTGTCACCTTCTGGCCCACAAGAATATGTTGCAGAGACCATTAAACTAAGATGAGGACAGGGGCGCCTGGGTGACGCAGTCGGTTAAGCGTCCGACTTCAGCCAGGTCACGATCTCGCGCTCCGTGAGTTCGAGCCCCGCGTCGGGCTCTGGGCTGATGGCTCGGAGCCTGGAGCCTGTTTCCGATTCTGTGTCTCCCTCTCTCTCTGCCCCTCCCCCGTTCATGCTCTGTCTCTCTCTGTCCCAAAAAGAAATAAAAAACGTTGAAAAAAAAATTAAAAAAAAAAAAACAAAAACTAAGATGAGGACAGGCCAGCTCTGGAATGGCAGAAACAATCCTAGGAAAATCTTATGGGATTGGGCAGTTGGGGGGTGGAGGGGAGGGAGGGCTGTATAAATGAAATTAAATCCCTACTTCACACCATACACTTTACACATACATCACCGGATGGATTATAGACCTAAATGTGAAAAAACACACTTCAAAAACTAATAAAGAAAATAAAGGACAACGGCTACATGATCTTAGAGTAGAGGAAACCTAAAAAAAAAAGAAAAAGAAAAAAAATTTACAAAGTCCCAACAATAAAGAAAAAGATAGATTTAACTATGTCAAATTTTAAAATTCTGTACAGAAAAAGCATGTAGCCTTCTATTGGCCAAAGATTAAAAACAGACTAGGAGACACATTTAATAGACTAGGAATGAACATACAAAAACACAAAATAAAAAAAGTAGAAAAAAATGAACCAGTTGTCTGAAAAGGAGATGTGAAGGGCCAACAAATAAGGAAACAAACAAAAACGATGTTCAAGCCCAGAGAAGGCCAAGAAACAACACAAAAGGAGACCACTTTCCATTCATTGTATTCGTAAAATTTAAGGGACGGGCCATCTCAACTGTTGGCGAGGTCGTAGGAGAAATAAATAAATTGTTGCTGGAAATGTGAATTGGTAAAAGCGCCGAGGAGAAAAGTTTGGTGGCAGCTAGGAAAACGTGTTTACCGTGTGTGCTAGAAATCGTGCTTTGGGATACACACTAGACAGCCTCCTGCATAGTATCATAAGCATCTTGCACACAACAGTGTCAATGCAGCATGTTTTTGTAATGGCAGGGACAAAAAGCAAGTGACTGAAACATCTCCCAATATAGGAATACAGACAATGTGGTATTCTCTATGATGAGATACCAGACAGCAATTAAAAATAATAAATAAAATTGGTCTATATCGTCCCTAGTAGACATTACAAACAGAAGGTAGAGTGTAACAGCAAGATGCAGATTGATGGGATTTATACTTGTATGTGCTAAAAGCCAAACTATACAGTGTGTGTGCACGCGTGTGTGTTTTAACAGATGCGCATCTATCTAACAATAAAACTTTTTAAAGTGACACAAGAACATTTTTGTCTCTAGAGGGATGTCAAGAAGAATAGGTGGGGAGTTACTGGTTTGGGGACATTGGTTAATATCGCTCCTTGGCTCGCTCCTCCCCTTTCCTCCCTCCCTCCCTCCTTCCCTTCCTTCCTTCCTTTCTTCCTTCTTTTTCTCTTCCAAAAAATTGATAAGAAGCAAATAAGACAAAAAAGCTAACATTTGTTCATTCTGAATTGTGGAAATATGGAAGTCTAAGTTACTCCTTTATTTTACTGTAACTTTTAAATCTCGGAAAGCAGAAGCCAAACCAAACAAAAAAGCCCTGGTATTTATATAAATACAATCATAAGCTATAAAACTCTACTAAAAGAAGTAAAGGAAGACTTGAACAAAAAAAGGCAAGTATTCTCATGAGTATGCTGTGTTCTACAGAGTGGGCTAACTTCCACTCTCCAACCTACTCCTCAAAGTTGGGAGGTCCCAGGGGTCTTTGAATTGGAAAGACCCGTAGTGATCATTTGGTGCCAAAGCCCCTTTTCACTTCCCTCATGAATGGTGTCCAGTCTCTTGAAATAATGTGTTAAGGGTGTCTTCTTCCAGTGCCAGTGACTAGCCCTACTGTTCTGAAGCAAGTGGTTCCATTCATTTGTCAGCAGCTCAAACCATTAAGGAAAATGCTTTCTAACTTTGAGAAGAAATCTGTTCCTGTAGGCTCCGCCCCTTGGTTCCATTTCTTCCTTCTGGAGCAACAGAGCTGAAATCCAGTGCTCCTTTGACAGGAATGTCCTTCAAAATGTGAAGGCAGCTATCCTGCATTTACAAGTTTTTATACGTAAAAATATAAAGAGCTTTTTATGCAAACGCAAACGTGAGCATCACCTGGAGACGTCACCATAAAACTCCAACAGGCTGTGAAACTGAGTTTTGAAAATTCTCTTTCATAATATGGAAGAAACTAACGTGACAACACGGAGAGCTTGGCCTATCTCAGGTAGTGAATTTTTCTCTGGGCTTGGAGGCAAAGGACTCCCCACCTCCACCCCAACCCCGGGAGGGAGAAGTACATAATTGATGAGCAATCCTTATCAGACTTGAAAGGACAAAGATACAAAGGGGAACCGGATGCCTGGCTACAAACTGATACCTCAACAGACATAAGAGGAAGCTACATAATCTCCTTGTTAAGGACATTGTATATTTTATAAGAGAAGAGCAATGCCTTGCCAATTTCAGTGCCAATGTGGGCTGACAAAGGGATCCGAATACTGACTTAGGAAAGTTTATCTTAAAGGTAAAGGCCTCTGGAGACACAGACCCTACTGTATTGGTGTTTGTTGGTTGGCTTCTTTTCCACCAGCTTGAAAAGCGACCAATGGACAAGAAAGGCTGTTGGCATTCCAGTTTGAGAGGTTATTGGTTGATGCTGTTTAAGTTACCTGAGATGTTATGTATCACTGTGGGTAAGAGGAAAGGGGAAGGGAGGAAAGGAAGGTCAAGTTCCCACTGTTAGCAATGGAACAGGGATTCCAACTCAACCTCCTGGAACTCAAATGTTCTTCATTTTGTTGTGTTCTAAACCTCACCCCTCTCAGATTGTGAAAGCATCCATACCACTCATAAAAATATTTAATGGCTTGTATCAACCAGTCAAAACGGACTATGGGTGCTATGCCTTATGGGTACATCCCGGCTGGATATCCGCAGGCCTACAGCTCTAACCAATCAGGAGCAGAGAAGCCCTTTCCAAGGTGATGCAGCAGATAAAGCAGTATTGCTTTAAGAAAGGTAACTGGGTTGTGCTCGTCTTATAAAATAGTTTTATTTCACATTAGATCTCTCTGAAATTATATTTTAGATATTATACCACTTCTTTTTACAACTTCTCTTTAGAAATCACTTCAATTTGTCTTCGAATGCAGAAGAAAATAAAGGAGGAAGGGTAAGGGAAGGGGTGGCTTAATTTTTCTAAATTGCAAAGTGACTGACAAAACTTGATCCTTCTCAAAGGTCTGTGCGTGGCCCGAATGGGAGAGAGGGGGTCTAAGCCTCCTTTAACGCTCTCTCCATAGCTCTGCCCCCTGCCCCCATAGTTCCCTCTTTGGAGAATGTTGTCTTCTTAAAACCCCACTCCCCAGCCCCACCTGTTGCCATCTTATCTCAGAGCCATTTCCTGCTCACAGTCTTGCTTTCCCCCTTACCAGACTCTGTCTGCCCCTCCTTTCAGTTGTAAGTCTGTTTTCTAATCCTGACATCGAACAAGCAGGTAAATAAATCTTCAGATAGTATTTCCCAGGCAGCGTCCCTAACTTTGGGGGTGTTGTGACCACCTACGATGGAAAACGATTATTTCACAACCTTTCCCTTACCACCCCTCCCCCCGCCCCAAATTGCGGTATGTTTATTTGTTTTTGACTAGAGTGAATTAAAATCAGTTTTGTGTGGAAGACTTCACAACACTCGTTGACATTTTTGGAGATACAATGGAGAAAGATTGAAGACCAATGAAAACCTAACGGCCCTGCAGCATCTCATGAGTTTGTGGGGCTTTTCTCCTTAGTTGTGCAAATTCAGTCCAGTGGGATATAGAAATGCGTGCTGCAGGAAAGCATTTTTCTGTTTGCCAAAAAGCAGTGGTGTTGAATGGCTTGAGAGACCACAAAATCACATTTCTCTACTCAGCACTGGGAAAAATTGTAATATGAAAGCATATTACCAATTCACATCACCTGGGTCCACTACAGCCAGAGGAAAAGA